AAGATCTAGGGAGCGTCATAAGGTCAAGCCTAATTATGCTAAGAGGACTGTGCCCTCTAAGCTGGAACTTGTTTGTGGCTATGCCAACAGGTCAGTCTGAGGCTTAACCCTATAGCCACGCCCTACACTTAGTATTTCATATTTTTATTATTATAGAAACTAGAGGCCCCGTGCATGAAAATTCAAGCACTGGAGGGCAAGGGGGGTCCCTCACCCGGGCCTGTACCCTCTCACCATCCAGGAGCCCTCAGGGGCAAGAGGTGACCCGGCGGTCAGGGGAAGGAGACACCCCATCACACCTCAGCTGCTGCCACTGCCAGCAGCACAAGCCTCAGCAGGCCTTGGTTACCTGAGCCTTGAGCGGCCCTAGGTGGCTGGGCAGCTGCCATCTGAGGCTTGCCTGTGCCTTGGGCCAGCCCTGAGCAGCTTGGGGGCTGAGAGGACTGGGCGCCAGCATCTTGTGGCTGTGCTAATTAGGGCGGACATCTTCTGCAGGACCATCAGGACATCCTTCCAGACAAAGCCGCAGGGGCTGCCTGAGGCTCAGGCAATCCACGGATGGTGGCTGCCACAGCAAGGGCCGGCCTGAGGCTCAGGCAGCCATGGTGGCCGCTAGTGACAGCAGCATCAGGGTAATGGGGCGGCGCCTTCCCCTGATTGGCCAGGTTGCCTTCAGCAGAGGGAGGCCAGACTGTGGCTTAGGCTGGGGGCAGAGGCATTTAGGGGCGATCCCGGCAAGGGCGGCCAAAGTAGGGGCAATCAGGCCGGCAGGCAGGCATAGGCAGTTAGGGGCGATCAGGCAGGCAGGCAGGCAGAGGGGTTAGGGGCAATCAGGCAGGCAGGCAGGCGAGCGGTTAGGAGCCAGCTGTCCCAGATTTCGAGAGGGATATCCGTCTGCCGGTTTAGACCTGATCCCGCAATAGCATACGGACATCCCCTGAGGGGGTCCCAGATTGGAGAGGGTGCAGGCCAGGCTGAAGGACCCCATGCATGAATTTAGTGCACCGGGCCTCTACTCTATAATAATAAAAGCATAATATACTAATTAGACAAAACGACCTCCCAGACAACCATGCTATGACACCCACTGGTGCCAGGCCAGTTAAGGCGGGTGCGATGCAATTAGTTGGGGGCCTGACCATCACCCCATGATTACCTTGCAGAAGGAGGCCCTGGCCACCAGCTGGCGGGGCAATCAATCAGGGGGTTCCATGATCGCCCCATAGAGGGAGTCCCCACCGACCGGCAGGCTATGGTGGGTGTGCCGGGACTCCCTCTGTGAGGGAAGCCCAGGTCCCGCATGCCAGAAGGAAGCCAGTGCCGGCAGCCGGGGGAAG